AAACCCATCGGCAGCTGTCTCCAAGTTGGCTTATCACGACCTACCTCGATCTCGTGACCGCGGTAACTCCCGACCGCCAAACTCAGGATCCTCTCCTACACGGTGCTAGGGACCGTATATCCGTCGTTGTTGGGTGGTTTTTCGAGGGTTAACTGCACTTGCGGGCCTCGACCTCCCCCGGGGAGGGGAGGAGGGGGGGAGGCGGAGAGCAGTATCACATTCGAAACACATAAGACCACTGTTTATGGCAAACAAATCTTGATCTTGATTCTTCAAANGGGGGGGGGGGGGTGGTCACTTCGTACCCTCCCCCCCCCAAAATCCCCGACATGAGAAAGTGAGTACCTAGGCGTGCAAAAAAAAAAATCGCACACTCTTGTTCTAACTCGGAAAAATCATGGTTGTTGTTGTTGTTGTTGTTGTTCACATTACATATAAAAAACTGCTCCGGTCTCCGCTCAGTACCTTCAAATGTCCGTACTGGTCCAACTGACGCGGACGCCTTGTTCCGTGGTCAACAGCTAACTGCCCCAAAGGGGGTACACCTTTCTCGAACTAATAACTTTTTTTTCTTTCTTTTTTCTTCACTTCAAATCATCAGCGCTCACGGCACTAGTGGCGTTTACTCCAACCCGTGGTCACACAGGAGCGCCCCTCTCTACCCTCCCCTCCTGCGGTACTTTGCCTTCGATTTTTAATGCGAGAAGAGTTCAGCACTCTCTTTCCTCTGTGTACACACGGACTAGCGCTATCCACCAGGAGGCCAGGAGCGGAAGCGAGGGAAAAAGTCACTTTGCAAGAAAAGCTCGCTTACGCTAGGATTCGAACCCTGGCCTGATGTCTATCTAGAAGGTTTCGAGGTTACCAACTAGAAGACCACCGGGGCGACCGGCACACCACCAGAAAAAATCCTCCTACTAATACTAAGTAGCGCGATTTGTTTTTTTCTTTCTTTTTTTTCTTTTTCTACCCAAACGAAAAGAAGAAAAAGGAAACAACTAAGGAAAAGGTTCCTAACCGGGGTACAGGCGATCGACCCCGGGCAAAAACAGGGATAAGGAACTAACTACAACGAAAAAGAGAGAAAAAGTAGGGAAAACAAAGAGAGAGAATTAAGTCATACATACGCAGCTGTCATCCGTATGCAAGGAAGTAAGCACAAGATACCGAACACCCTTAGCAGCAGGATGCAGCGCACCCCTCGTGCGACTCGCCGAATACCTCACGGCGTTTCGCGCTTGGTGATGTGAGAGCCTGGTCCGGTGAAAACCCGGCGTGCTCCTTCCCGGCTTTGTAGGGATGCGAGGTCAATGGTCTAAAGACTACGGCATGAACGACTATGAGTACACCCCCCCATCCCCCCTCCATCACCCCTTGGTACCACGGTACCCCTTTTTCCACCTTCGCTGCGGTAGGCCAGCAGCCACTCGGTATTCCGAACGTCCTCCGGTCGTCAACCGTGGGTTCGGCGCAGACCCCGAACTCTACGAAGTCGTTCTTCAAGCGTAACAGCCAATTCTTTTCCGGACGTCCGCCCTCTGGGTCCTTCCCTCCCACGATATCTCCGAACAGAAGTCGCTTCGGGAGTCACCCGTCCGGTTGTCTAGCCAATGCTCCAGCAAACAGTAGTCGCCTCTGTTGGACAGTCGCCTCCACGCTTTGGCATCCGACATTTTTTTGTGGGGCTTGGGCGTACGAGAGCTGGCGGAATTGGCCGCGCGTGCGGCGGTAGCCGATAACCCGTAGCAGAAGGCGGTGGTGCGTAGAGTAAACCGACCTATTAAGGGACGCCTAAGCCACCTCTCGCGCCAACAGCTCGTTCTCGGGCGTGAAAGCAATTTGTAACTATTTTTTTAAGTATCAGGCGATATGATACATCATAGGCTATCTCCCTAAAAAAAAAAATCGCAAGTGTAGGTGGTATAGGGCGGGTGCAGTGGACCTCTTTGTTAACCGGAAAATGGCGGAAACCACCCCCCCCTCTATTAAGGGACACTTGGCCTTGTGGCTGATTTCGTGCGTTCTGAAGCGTTTCATGGTCTGATTTGTGGTATACACACGTACGTCTACTGCTATATTGGTTCGTTTGAGATTTTTTTTTGGGAACGACCATCACCCCGGGACAAAATACTCACATCCCCGTGTTTCCGGTCTGAAATCAGGGATTGGTTCAACCCCCTTTTTGACCGTACAGCGGTGCTGTGCGCATGACAAGAAGAGCCAAAACCAAGGAATAAATAAATGCATAATCGATCCATTCTGATCATACACCGACTCCCTAGAAAGACATCAGGATGAAAACCCTTGCGCCGCTGATTTGTGCCCACCCAAACAGGCACTGTTCAGCTGGCCGCTACGGTAAGACTTCTCCCCGGCAACCCGAAGGCCATTTCGATGTTTTCACATTCACCATAAACTCCCACAAGACGCCCTTTGGTGGGTACGTGTGTTCTATAACAAGGAAGGTTGTTGTGAAAAATNAATGGTCCAACGACTACGGCATGCACGACTATGAGTACCCCCCCCCCCGACCCCCGGTCCTGGAGTGCACCCCTATCATTTCTACATAGATAGCCCTACAAACCACAAAGGTACAGAAGTTTGACTGTAAGAAAAAACAATGACGTCTGAGGCTCATTTGACGCCTCATTACATACATTCAAACACGTAAACTCGGCAAGCAAGGCAAGAAGCAGCTTGGAGCTGCGGTGAGACTTCTCGCAGAAAATCGAAGCTGTTTCCCACCACCCGAACGCCCCATCGAAAGTTCCTTTCAGGGCCATCATCTCAAGTCGCGAAGCAGAAAAACGATCAATAGTCCTTCAGGCCCGGGGACAGCATTTCAACGTCCCCGGGGTTCCGGAAACCGCCTCTAGGCAACGCCCCCCC